CACACACACTGCTGCTGCAACTCTAAGGCCCTTTGTCTCTCACCGCTTAGTCACCCCCTTTGTCCTCGTCTCAGATGGGGGGTGGAGAGGGGCAGGAAGAGTCCTCGTGACAGCGCCTCTTGCCCCTGCCCCTGGTCTCCATCCTTTGTCTGACTCCTGCAGCCCCAAGCCCCCTCCACTTAGGACCAGGTCAGGGCAAGCGGTGGGTCAAGAGGTGGGTTTGGCAGCCACAAGGGGGTGGGCGACACAGGAAGTAGTGGGCACTGGGGCAGGTATTAGCGACCTGAGCCGGAAGGGAGGGGGAAAGGAAGTGTTCTGGTGGATTTGATGTGGGGGCAGGAGGTGACAAGGCAGAGAGCCAGCAGACGAATGGAGGAATGAAGGCAGGGGCAGGTGGTCGGTCCCTGGGAAAGGAAGGGCACTGCTGAGCGCGCTCCCCTTCCTGGGGATATCCTGAGGAAAGGAGTGGCTGTAGCATAGGGGAGCAGACGTTGCCCCTACTTCTAACCCATTACTGCCTTGCCGTGAGCGTCCACCCCCAAGACCTCTTCACGAGTCCTCTCCAGTCCAGAACCGAGGGAGTCATTTTACTTCCTTTTCCCAACACCACCTCTTCCTCCCTGGGGCGCTCTCCCACTTCAGGCGCTGAGTTCCTGTTTGTCTCACCACCTAATTTCCATGTATTCACAATGCTGCCTCCATCCTCTCCCTGTCCGAGGGAAATGAGAAATAGAAGATGACGAGATAGGTATTCCCAGAATGATGAGGTTCTCAGGGCGAAGTGCAGAGTTGGGAGCCAGGTGGGGATTCCCTCAGAGGGCGGCACTGGGCATGTCTGGGTTCCTGTGCTGGGTGGGCTGGCAGGAGGCTGGGGGAGGGCGCAGGGCCAAGAGCATGGGGGAAGCTACCGGGAGCTGCGCCAAGGAAATAGGGAGTCAGGAAGTGGGAAGGGGGAGTCCTGGGGGGAATGGAGGCGGAATGGCTGTTCCAGGCTTTAGAGGGGCGGATAGTGGTAACTCAGGAAGGGGGAGCCTGAGAGAGAGTCGGGGTGTTAGAGAAGAGGAGGCACCACCCTGGACCCTCCTGGGAAAGGAATCGTTAACCCTCCTGCCTGCCATGCCCTCTGCCTGCTCCAGGTGCCCATTTGAGCCTGACCCGCCCTACCTTTGGGCAGTACACTCCCTGATCACTGCCCCCTGCACTCTCCCCTGCTGCTCAGCTCTTGTCCTGACAGTGTTGAGCTAGTTTCTTTGTTCACCCTCTTGAGGCTTCCATGCCTGTTCCCCGCTGTCTCTCCTCAACCCTGGAAACCAGCCTCGAGGGGCAGAGGGCAGCCTGGGGGAGCCCTGAGAAAAGGAAGGCCATGCCAGAATTCTACTGGGACGTTAGTCCTTTCTGTGCGTGTAGGGCAGGCCCTTTCCCTGGCTCCCTACCTCTCGGGGGACTCCGTCCACCAAATAGGGAGACAGCCGAGAGCTGACTGTGGGGTTTGGGAAAAGGCCATGTCATCAGCTGGCCCATTGCCTATGACCCTCCATTTGGCTGCTAGAGGACACCCCCCCCCCAAGCAAGTCCCATTTTTCTCAAAGGAAAAAAAAACCTAGGATTTTGGGGAAAAAATGAGACACCCATCTGAGTCCTACCAACAGAGCTGCTGGCTGAATGGCTTCCTGCTCAGCCAATCACAGAGCCTCAGGATGCTTAAAAGAGCTGGCGGGGGGAGAGAGTGTGGGAAGAACCCAGAGGGAAACCCGCAGACACATGGACAGGGGAGAGACAGCAGGAGAGACACAGAGACAAAGGCACAGAGGAGAAGCCAGGGTCTGAGAGCATACAGAGGGGGAGGCCAGAGAAGCTGCAGGAGACCAGGAAGGATTAGGGAGGAGCCAGGCCACTGTGGACACCTTTCCCAAGCCAAGGGCTAAGTCCTCCCTATCTTCTCTGAAGGTCCCCAGCCCCCCTGCCAACTCTGACCCTGACCCTGGCGCTAGGCTGAGCCCCATGCTGCGGAGCTTTCCAAAGCCAGGGCGTGAAGGACTTGGCGCCCGGACGGCCTCAGTTCCTCCCAGCGGTAGCAGCCGTGCCATGTCCCGGACAGACCGGTGTCCCAGGAGAAGCTTGGTGGGCTGCAGGCTGTGGGGAGGCCGCCCCGGTCCGCAGCTCCCCACGCTGCCTGCCATCTCTGGGCTGGTGCTGCTACTTCTGCGGGTCTCCCTCCTGCCCTCAGCCCAGTCAGCCGGCCCCCTCCCCCGGGAAGAGGAGGAGATCGTGTTTCCAGAGAAGCTCAACGGCAGCGTCCCGCCTGGCTTGGGCATCCCTGCCAGGCTGTTGTGCCGCTTGCCCGCCTTTGGGGACACGCTGCTGCTAGAGCTGGAGCAAGACCCAGGCGTGCGGGTCGAGGGGCTGACGGTGCAGTACCTGGGCCAGGCACCTGAGGGTCTGGGCGGGGCCGAGGCTGGGACCGACCTCACCGGCACCTACCTCACCGGCACCGTCAACGCAGACCCGGAGTCGGTGGCGTCTCTGCACTGGGACGGAGGGGCCCTGTTAGGGGTGCTGCAGTATCGGGGGACCGAACTCCACATCCAGCCCCTGGAGGCAGGCACCCCTAACTCCGCTGGGGGGCCTGGGGCTCACATCCTACGCCGGAAGCGTCCTGTCAGCGGCCAGGGCCCCATGTGCAGCGTCAAGGCTCCTCCTGGGGACCCCAGCCCCAGCCCCCGCAGAGCCAAGGTAGGTTGCCCTGGGGTCCGTCCTGCTGAGCCCTGGGTCCCCTGGGCACCACTCTGACTCTTTCACGAGCCTGCCTTGGGACAGCTCTGGCTTCTCCCTGCCTGACCCTGTTCCCGAGGAGGGTTCCCTGAGGTGGGTCAGAGGCTCTACTGGGAGTGACCGGTCCCTCCCTCTACCTAGCCCCTGCCTGACCATCCGACTGCCACTGTCCCTAGCTACAGGTTGTCCTAACAGCCCCTTGGCCTTGACTCTTTCCTGTGTCCCACATTTGATTTTCACCCCCCCACGCCCCCTCCCCACACACACAGCAGCTAAGGGACTGAGCGTTTAGGCCCAAGCGGATGGGCCTCTGGTGCTGCCTTCAAGACTGTCCTGCCAACTACACACCACGGCAGGAGTGTGCAGGGAGGGAAGGCATCGCACACGGCCTCCCGGTCCATCCGCTTTCCACAGGGCACTGACTGCGAGGCTGCCTGAGGCTCCATCCTGTACTCCCGCCCACACCCGCTCCCCCCCACCCCCAGCTTTAATCCAGACCAGACGCTCCCCACACCCAGCCCTAGCCCGCCACGCTGAGATCTGGCCCGGGCTGGCTGCTGGCTGAATTGTTGCTCCAACCACACAGGGCAGACACGTTGCGGCCCAGCCCTGGAGCCCCAGTCACACTCAGGCCTGGGGAGCCCCAAAGCCCCTCCCAGAGGCTTTTCACCTCTGGGGTGCAGGCGGCCTTGGGATGTGGCACCCCTTGTCCTTCCCTTCTCTGAACCAACAGCTGATTTCTCAGAGTTACCACAAAAGCCCTGGGATTTGGGGGTGGGGGAGGGACCAATAGAAGGCAGGAATCCCCAGGATGCGCTCATGGCCAGCTGGCTCTGCTGAGCTCCAGACCAGGAAGACGCTGCGGAGGGGAGCAGTGACCCCTGGTCTGGAAGGTGGTCTCAGGATCCTCTGTCCTTTTCTCTCCTAGCGCTTTGCTTCCCTAAGTAGATTTGTGGAGACTCTGGTGGTGGCCGATGACAAGATGGCTGCATTCCACGGTGCAGGGCTAAAGCGCTACGTGCTAACAGTTATGGCAGCCGCCGCCAAGGCCTTCAAGCACCCAAGCATCCACAACCCTGTCAGCTTGGTGGTGACTCGGCTGGTGATTCTGGGGCCCGGCGAGGAAGGGCCCCAAGTGGGACCGAGTGCTGCCCAGACGCTGCGCAGCTTCTGTGCCTGGCAACAAGGACTCAACAGCCCTGAGGACTCGGACCCTGAGCACTTTGACACAGCCATTCTGTTTACTCGTCAGGTGAGGCCCCACCAGCACCACAGGCCGCACACCACACAACTCCAAGCAACACCACTGTGCAGAGTGATGTAAACGGTGCCCCTGGGGCTGTGCAGGGTGGCGCCTGGCCCCAGCCACACCACCGATGCTGTCTGGGCCCCAACAGTGCCCAAGTCCCCACTGCTCTGGGTCTCAGCCCAGTGGACCCTCAAGTCTTGGTCCCTCACGCGTCTTTGATGATCCCCCTCTGCAGGACCTGTGTGGGGTGTCTACCTGTGACACTCTGGGCATGGCTGATGTGGGCACCGTGTGTGACCCGGCTCGGAGCTGTGCTGTCGTGGAGGATGACGGACTCCAGTCGGCCTTCACTGCTGCTCACGAGCTGGGTAAGGTGGCAGTGGGACCATGGGGCATCTGGGATGGGTGACGAGTGTCGGGTGAAGCGAGGGGACAGTGGGCTCAGCAGGATGCAAATGGGGGTGACAAGGCATTTCTTCCTCGTCCCCGGGCCTTGGTCCAGGACCATCCTTCCTGCTTTGGTGTAGACAAAAACATCCAGGGTTTGTGGAAACCCACTGTGAGCTGTGTGCTGTGTGTGGAGGGCCTGGCACAGCATTCACAAGGTTCAGTGATGGGGTGTGTGGGTTGGGAATGTGTCCGCAAGGAAAAGGAGTGTATTTGGGAGGACAGGGAGACAGAACAATGGAGCGGGGCTACATACTGAGGATCCTTCAGAGCACTGGAGTGGGTTGGGTGCGGGGTGAGGTGGGACGGGTCTGACCACCCACAGCTGCAACCAGGTTTATGGTGGGCCTGCAGCCTGAGGGCACAGGGCTGGGACACTTGGACCCCAGCAGGGCCTCTGCTCTCACAGGCCACGTCTTCAACATGCTCCATGACAACTCAAAGCCGTGTGCCGGTCTGAACGGGCCTGGGAGCACCTCCCGCCACGTCATGGCTCCTGTGATGGCTCACGTGGACCCGGAGGAGCCCTGGTCCCCCTGCAGTGCCCGCTTCGTCACTGACTTCCTGGACAACGGCTATGGTAAGCAGGGCACTGCCCTTCCCCCGGGCAGGACTCCATTCCTGACCCCACTGGCCTCTCCTAGGTCACCTTCCGTGGCGGGGGACCCTCCCTCCACAGCGTGGGGTGGGGTGAGAGATGGCTGCTGTCTTTGTGTGGGTCCCACCTCCCCCCAGAGTAAGGAGCACAGCTGGGGGAGGCGCATCTTGGCCCAGTAGACTTAGAGCTGACCTCCTAAGGGCCCCAACTGTCCAACACTGGAATGGGCTGGCTGCGGAGGTGACTGCTTTGGCACTGAGCTGTGCGAGCCCCACAGGGCAACCACTCCTGGGCAGGGTGGTTGATGAGAAACAGTTGGTTAGAGTAGGCAGGAGGATGTAGTCCTTGGGGTCCCATCTTCATTCTGTTCTTTACATGTGTGTAGACGTGTGACCGTCAGTGACGTGTGTGTGTAGACATGTGACCGTCAGTTATCTGGCTCTGAATGGCTCCTCTCCAATGCCGGTGTGACAGTGCTAACTGCCTCGTAGGTGTGGCCGTGATGAAAGGATCCAGCGTTGGCTGAAAGCTTAGCCAGCTGGATGCTCATCCCACAATAAGCATCCAGTAAATCGCAGCTGCGATTTCAGGCTTCTCCCAGCCCTAGAATTTGGAGTCCCCAGGCCCCAGGGAGCCCAAGCTTTCAGGTGGTAACTAGAATGCAGCCTTGGCCCACGGCTAACTTCACACCCCTGCGTCCTTCCCAGGGCACTGTCTCTTAGACAAGCCAGAGGCCCCCCTGCATCTGCCCATGACTTTCCCTGGTAAAGACTATGACGCTGACCGCCAGTGCCAGCTGACCTTTGGGCCTGACTCACACCACTGTCCTCAGCTGCCACCGCCCTGTGCTGCCCTCTGGTGCTCTGGCCATCTCAATGGCCACGCCATGTGCCAGACCAAGCATTCGCCCTGGGCCGATGGCACCCCCTGCGGGCCCTCGCAGGCCTGCATGGGGGGCCGCTGCCTCCACCTGGACCAGCTCCAGGACTTCCAGGTGAGATCCCAGGGTGGGGGTGTGGCCTGGGAGCAGGGGTGTGGCCTGGGAAGCAGGGGTGGGCCCTGAGCCCAGGAGAGAGCACACGCACCCATCCTTCCATTCTCTGCTTCTGCAGGTCCCACAGGCTGGTGGCTGGGGTCCCTGGGGACCATGGGGCGCCTGCTCTCGGAGCTGCGGGGGCGGTGTCCACTTCTCCTCCCGGGACTGCACTCGGCCCGTGCCCCGGAACGGGGGCAAGTACTGTGAAGGCCGCCGTACCCGCTTCCGCTCCTGTAGCACCCAGGTCTGCCCTACTGGCTCAGGTGCGGCATGGGGGACGGGAGCCGTATGAGGGTGCGGTGGGCAGGATGGGGTGTCCCTTGAGTGCTGGGGCCGAGGAGGTGCTGACTATCCCTGCAGTGGAGGGGAGTGACTTTACCCTTCAGGAATCTTCCCTGGCAGTCTGTGGGAGACACAGGTGCTGCAGTCTAGAGGTGTGAAGGGCGAGGTGCAGGGGCTGGTTGGCAGAGTGAGAGGGGGGCTCTGACCATCCTTTCCCCTCTTGCAGCACTGACCTTCCGTGAAGAGCAGTGTGCTGCCTACAACCACCGCACTGACCTCTTCAAGAGCTTCCCAGGGCCCATGGACTGGGTCCCTCGCTACACGGGTGTGGCCGCCCAGGACCAGTGCAAACTCACCTGCCAGGCCCGGGCACTGGGTTACTACTATGTGCTGGAGCCGCGGGTGAGGGCCAGGATGCCGGGCCCCTGCTGGCACTCCCACCGCATGCCAGGCCAGCCCCGGGGTCTGTGGGCATTTGGAAGACAAGCCCCAAACTCTGGATAAGTTATCCCTCAGGCAGCGCGAGCCTGCCCTGCTCCCTCATTTTCTGCTCCGCTATGTCCCCATCTTCCCATGCTTTCTGTCGCGAGAATACCAGAGTGGAGCCTTCAGGGTGTGTTTGACCCCCTTTCCATGGGCTCCTCTACCAGGTTACAGCATGCGTCAGTCGGCTCCTGGACGGCCAGTCCCTCCCTGGACAGGCCTCCTGGAGACCGTGATGTCCCTCCTGGCCCGCCTTCAGTGTGTCAGGGCAGCAGATTGAAGGCTGGAAAAGGAAGAAGCAACCCTACCAGCTGCTCCCTCCGGCCCTACGCTGGGAGAAGGGCTGCAGGTTGGCTGCCCTCTAGCGTCCACCTGGGATGGCACCATGGAGGTTTAGGGCTCCGTGCTGGGACCCAGATGGTCCTGCCATTCCCACCGTGGCTGCGCTGGCCAGCTGCATAACCTGTGGGCATGTTCCTAATCTCCAACCTCAGTGCTCCATCTCTAGAACCCTTAGGTTGTGGTTGTGAGTTTATGATCATGTTTATAAAGCACTCAACACAGTGCGCGATTCACAGAGGGCTCCGAAGGTGGTGGCTTTCACCTTGGTTGCTGTCATTCCGATTGTCACCCCTTAAGGTGTCTGGGGCTCTCTCCCTGCTCCATTCACAGCCCCTCCCTGGTGGGATGTGGGTCTTGTTTGGCTTACCAACCCCGCTTGACTTGGGAGCAACCCTCTGCATTGCCCCTTCTCTTGTCCTCAGGTGGTAGATGGGACCCCCTGTTCCCCGGACAGCTCCTCGGTCTGTGTCCAGGGCCGTTGCATCCATGCCGGCTGTGACCGCATCATTGGCTCCAAAAAGAAGTTTGACAAGTGCATGGTGTGCGGTGGGGATGGTTCTGGCTGCAGCAAGCAGTCTGGCTCCTTCAGAAAATTCAGGTTTGTTTGCTGTTTACCTCCTTCTCCCACCTTCCTGGACATTGACCCGGGCCTAGGCGATAAGACATGGACTCAATACAGAGGAGTGAGCAGTTCTATCAGTGTCCCACCTGTTCAGCTGGTGTCAGCGGCTGCTGGGAGGGCCCCTGTGGGCGTCAGGGAACGCTTCCCCAGGACGTGGGGCTTAGAAAGGCACCTCAGTGAGGGGGCAGCAGGTGTCAGTGAGGAGCCACATTTGCAGGTAGCTCAGATCCAGGCTGGACACCTCACAGAGGTCAGAGGAGACAGCCGTCTGTACGCATGCACACACACACACACACACACACACACACACACACACACTCACACACAGCTCAGAAGGCTCAGGGCATCCAGGAAGACGCTGCTGAGTTGCCCTTACTTCTTCCATGCAGGTATGGCTACAACAATGTGGTCACCATCCCAGCGGGGGCCACCCACATCCTGGTACGGCAGCAGGCGGCCCCTGGGCTCCGCCGCCTCTACCTGGCCCTGAAGCTTCCAGATGGCTCCTATGCCCTCAACGGGGAATACACGCTGGTGCCCTCCCCCGCCGACGTGCTGCTGCCTGGGACCGTCATCCTGCGCTACAGCGGGGCCACTGCAGCCTCTGAGACGCTGGCAGGCCACGGGCCGCTGGCCGAGCCCCTGACGCTGCAGGTGCTGGTGGCCGGCCACCCCCAGGGCGCTCGCCTCCGATACAGCTTCTTCGTGCCCCGGCCCACCCCCGCGCCCGTGCGGCCCTCTCCCCAGGACTGGCTGCACCGCAAGGCGCAGATTCTGGAGGTCCTCCGGCGGCGCCCCTGGGCAGGCAGGAAATAACCTCACCGGCCCGGCTGCCCTCCCTGGGCACCGGGGCCTGGACTTAGCTGGGACAGTGAGGGGCTTTGCGGAGCCTCACCAGAGACCCAGTGGGGGAGGGGCGAGCCCGCCCGCTGCCCTGCGCAGGCTGGCCTGCCTGGTCCTGCCCTGGACGGCAGCGACATGGATGGAGCGGCCTGGGCGACAGTCCTCCGTGCACATCACCCCTCTGCCCTGCTGGTCAGAGGAGGGAGGGGAAGGCAGGGTGGGTCCCACTTGTATTTATTTAGTATTTATTCACTTTTATTTAGCACGGGGGAACGGGGTGAGGGCTGGGTCCTGGGGAATCTGACCCCTACCTCTCATTGCCCTTCCCCCGGCCAGGGAACCAGGGTGAAGGTATTGTCCTGAGTGGTGTGTGTGTGTGTGTGTGTGTGTGTGTGTGTGTGTGTGTGAGAGAGAGAGAGAGAGAGAGAGACAACACGTGTGTGCCTTTATGCGCGAGGTACACCTGGCCCTGCTTTCCTCTCCCTGGCTCCTATTTCTGGGAACAGATGAGCCAAGGGTAGGGCAGGTCTTCAGGGAATAAGGGATTATCATGTTTTAAATGTAAATTGAATTCTGCTATTTATGTGCTCCTTCTGGAGTCAGACAGATGCGGGCTGCACCGGCTCTGAACGTTAGTTTCCTCCATTGCCAATAATAATACCTCCCTTGGAGATGTGTTGTGAGGGTTAAATGATGTAAATAAAGACCTAGCATGGTGCCCAGCCCCTGGTAAGTGCCAAGCAAATGGCAGCTGCCGCCAGTGATTACATTACCTTTCTGTCACCTCCATGTCGATGGGGCTGCCATGCATGTGAACGTGGCAAACCTCCACGGTGTGAGCGGAGCCTGCCCCTGCCACCAGCTCAGCTCTTCTGGTTGGCAAAACCCTACTCTGGATTCTGAGGGACTGTCAGAGAAAGGACAGTTCTGTCCCTGATCTCTGGAGGTTCCCAACCATTATTTCATTCATGGAGATGAAATAATCCCTCGGCTCTTAGCACACTGCCAACACCATGAAGGTGCAAAGATGACACTCCTTCCACACAAACACGCACTCAGGAGTGAGCTGCTAACTGGGGTCTGAGGGACCTGCTGAGCTAGAGGAGCTCTGGAGTGGGGCCCCCCGGGTCTGACTTGGACCAGGGCCATCTTGTCAGCTGTAGAACTGGGCAAGTCGCTGATGCCAAGCAAGGGGCCTGATGAGACCTGTTCCCACAGAATGCCCCGGAGACAAATGTTACAGTATTTTCAAAGAGGAAATAAAGGCTCTGCCCATGTGAGAGGTTACCCAAGACTACTGATGACAGCGTCCCCAGAAGCAACCAGTGTAAGCCCAACAGACTTCTTGGGAGACTCGAGGTTAGAAGGGAATTTAAAAAGAGGAACAGAAGGTGGTTTGGTAGAGGACAGTCGGGAGGGCGACAGGAGCCAGGTGTCAGTGGTGGCAGAGCAGGAAGGGCAGTGGGGACTAGAAACAGTTCTAGTTTTCCTGCTGAGCAGGCGACTTTGCTTAAGAGAGAGCTTGGGGAACAGGGCCGTGAAAGGGTGGCGGGTTGATCCTGTAAGAATTGGGAGTCTTGAGTGACAGTGGAGGGACTGCTGGATGTGGAGGGGAGGGAGCAGACCTGAGCGGGTGGGAGAGGGGAGTGCAGGGGCCCTCTGCCCTGGCAGCTTCCTGCTGGGGGCCGCCAGACTGGGTTAGCAGCTGGGGCTGAGGCAGCTGGGACTGGGCTGAGGCAGGCCGGGACGTCGTGCTGGCTGTGCTGTGCTCACTGGGGCTGGGCCTTGCTGACAAGTTCCGTACCAGGCCGTGCCCTACACAATGCCCTGTGCTTGATGCCACCGGCACCACGCCTCCCCCTCAGCAGCTACAGGGACAGGGCCACCCCGCCCCCTCCATGCACGTGGCCCCACTGCTGTGCCTGCCCCTGGCCTCTCCTGCTGTCCTCCTACTAACCAGGCTGGAGCACTGAAAGCAGAAGACTGATCATGGACTGCTTCACATCGTTAGCAAATCAGAGCCCCACTAACGCGTCTCTAGACCCTAATGCTATGAGTTCACGGTGTAGCAGGCAGAACTCTTTGCTTAGATGGGAAGTACAAACAAACAGCCTGATAAAGGAGTTCACTGCATTCACCCCCCAGAAACAAACCACAGGATGGCGCGAGGAACTGCAGGACGAGGGCCAGATGAACGGCGCTGGGCCTCTTGGGCTCTGCGCGTAAGGAGGCTGAGTCCTGGGCTGGGCCGTGAGGGACTGAGCCCCGTGAGAGCCCTCTGAGCTTTCCTAGTGCTCTGGAAGACTCACTTTGTAATCACTTTCATTGGCATTATTTTTAAAGGAAGCCCTTTGCTCAATGACTAGGGTTCTGACTGGCATAAACATAAAGATCTTCCCAGAGGGGCTTAAAGGCTCCTCTGTGATTGGGTGGGTGGGTGGAGGTGTACAGTGAAAGAGAGAGAAAACTAGCTCGTCGAAAAGAAGGGATGGGCAGCCAGCCCTCCATCCCAGGCAGGCCTGACGCCCTCTGGGGTGCTGTCCTCCTACCACCCTTCCCAGAGGGGCCGCAGGCTGTCCAGTATCCCCAAGTCAGGGTCCAACGCACTCCGGCTGGGGGCGGGGCTGCTTACCTCCGTACAAGGGCCACGATGGGCTCTGCCTCCCAGGGTTCCTCCTTTCTGGGCCTGAGCTGGGCTGTGGGCAAACAAGCAGGAGAAGCAGGAATAGCAGGAAGGCAGAAGGCCCCGGGACATCCCGGTATCTGGTTGGGGAGGGAAAAAGAGGGAACAGTGATGAGCTGGAGGAGGAAGAGCCAGGCCCTGCCGAGGCGGTGAGCGCCGCGGCTGCCAAAGTTCACGCAGAGTTTGGACGACGGGCCTTACGCCAAGGCAGGCAAGCATTGTCTGTGTTTGAGGTTGAAGCAGTGACAGAGTTGGGCCAGTTTCTTGAAGCTCTTTCTGGCCCTGAGAGTCCTTGCTTCTGTGGTTAGAGCAGAGGGAATCTGGGCATTTGTCCAAGCATGGCTTCTGGGTTGGGGTGGGAGAGCAGGGACTCTGGGCACTATGGGACGGACGGGCTACTCGCTACTCGTTTACACGTCTACTCGTTCTGGGGCCCGTTTCCTAATCTCCATATAGTATTGCAGGATTTCGTTTTCTAAACTACCAGATTGACAATAAGTGACAAAACCACTGGTGGGGGCCTGTGAGGGAGTCAGAAGGAAGAAACTGGAATTCAACCTATTAACACTTTATTGGTTAAGAGGATGCTTCTGAACCAATCGGAATATCTTTCCCGTTGACTGTTGCTGGGGGCAAGCCGGAACCATTGGCAGGAAGCATTACCAGCCGGCAGCCGCTGGGGGAAACCACCAGTTCCAAAAATGTTCAGAAAGAGGCGGGCGGGGAAGCAACGATGCTGACCTTCCTCAGACAGGACCTTATATGGGGATAGGCCCAGAGGCTAGCGGAGCCTTAGGAAGGGGTGTTCAGGCATCCCTCACAGTCTTTGGGAAACGAGCAACAGGCCCTACAAACCCAGAAACACACACGCGCACACACATAGTGGCTCACAGTAACGTACAGGAGTCCAGCTTGATTGAGAAACGCTAGCACATTCTCTTGATAACACAGATGCACATGAGAAGCTGAAATGGGTCTGAGGAAAATATATTCGTTGACCTAATTCCCATTTATTTGTTCGATAAATAAGCCATTGAATTACAAACTGGGGACAAATCACATTCTCACAGCCTCTGGAAAGGATGCAGAGTTTTGGGCTCAGACGGAACCTAAGCTTTGCCACTTAGAGGTAATGATGTCACCTGAAATTACTTGATCTCTGTGAGTTTCAGTTTCCTTATCTGCATAATGGATATAGCACTGCCTTGCCTTATGGAGAGGTGGTCAGGTCACACTGAGGAGTATGATGATGCAAATTCTTGGCCCCGTGTCTGGCTGCTTGTAAGTGTCGTAAGTGCTGATGCTATTCCCTCGGATCTCCCCTTTTTTCCTGTCCCCTTTCCACTCCTGTATTAGCATGAGAAAATAATTATTCCAAGGAAGTGCCGGAGTCAGATCTAAGATGGCCTATTTAGTAGATTTTGTGCCCAAAGTTCTGGGTTCCATCCAGGGGATGATAAAAGGGAAGACATGGTCCGTGTCCTCAGGGAGCTCATAGTGTGGTGGCTGCAACAGTCAGGTGAGGTCCAATTCCAGACCTGTGTGATGGGTGCCATGATAGAGGAGGGCGCCGAGCATAGAATAGGGGTCCTGGGAGTGTTCCCCCTGAGGAGGCATCTGCCTTCCTTTCTAGAGCTGTAGGACTGCAGGAGCCCCATGGAGAGTAGGGTAGCGGTGGAGGAAGGACAGGTTTCTGCCTGCTGGCTCTGCTCCAGGGCTCTTTTCTGCTGTGCAAAACCAACATGATATAAAGAGAGCAGACTTGAAGCTGGAGGGTCACACTGCAAGGAGCTAAGTAGAGCTGGAAGGGACAGCTTTGGGAGGAACTACCATCCAGGGGGAAAATGTCGAGTGGGAGAGAAAGGACTTCAAAGACATTTAAACGTGCAGTGCTGGGCATCGCCCTGTGCTCCTGCTACACCCCCTCCCCCATGCCGGTGATGTTTCCTTGAGGAACTAAATCAAGATTTAAATTAGTTTCTGATGACAAGGCTGGGTTTCTTCTACCGGGGTTGTGTCATGACTGGGCCACTAGGGGGCCTAGGATTTACTCAGAATATAGAAAGGCAGGATGTGGTGGTAGGAGCCAGCATGTTAAAAGAAGCCGGCGACTGATCTGCCTCGCCCGGGAAAAGCGCAATGATGGTGCCAACTTGGGCCAGTGAGGCAACATCCTCCACAACTAGACTGAAGAACAAAAGGACAGCAACTACTTGTCTGTTCCCCTTCCCCAATTCCCCAGCGCTGTTCCCATCCCCCCAATTCCCCAATAAAAATCTTAAAAAAAAAGAAGTTAAATTCACACAGACCTAGCATTTCTAGGTGATGATGAAGTCCTGGGTGTGGCCAGGGTGAAATGGAATGGAGTTGAAAGTTCTTGAAGACAGGGTGCTTACAAAAGTTATTGGGGAGCTGTTAGAAGATAGTAGAAAGGGGAGGATAGAAGGTGAAAGTCAGTCTGACAAGAACAGCACACCATGGAGAAGCAGAGAGGCTCTGGCAGAACCATCTTTCAATTATCGGTGTACATCTATCTTTCCCCTACACAGTGAGCTCCTGAAAAAACCAGGACTTTTGCTCGGCTCCTACTTTGTGCTGAAAATTCAGATGTATGGAATATCTGCTGGTCTGCTGGCACTTTCCCATAGTTCTCACTAATGATCACAAAACCCCTTAAGCTGGGGTTCATTTTACTGATGAACCCGAGTGTATTGCTCAACATCACACAGCCAATGGGTTTCAAAGCTGGCACTGCAGTCAAGTCCAGTATTTTCTCATTCTGAGCCTCTACAGGCACTTCATTCATTAAGTCTAAAGTTTAAATTGTCATCTCGATCACTTCCCCCAAATGTGTCCCTTCTAAGTTTTGTTTTTCATTAAATGGTGCTGCCATCCACCCAGTGATTCACAGTGGGCCTACATCCAGAGTCATCTTGAAGTCCTCTAACTCCCTGACTTGATGGCACATCCAGTCAATCACCAAGTCCTGTTTGCCTCCTAAAAAGTCAGAGATAGGGCTTAACTCTGAATACTATATGGACAGTGGATATATATGGCCAATGAGCAGAATGAGAGGGTCAGTGGGTAGAAAATTACATTAAGGGTGGGGACAGTCTTGCTAAACAGACATAACAGGATTCTCGCTGAAGGCAGGCCAGGGTGATTGGATATTAAGGTATGTGTGGGGGTGTGGGATTCTTGCTAAACTGACTTAGTGGGATTCTAGGAAAAGTGACGAGGGGCCCAAGTATGAGGGCTATTTGAAAAGAGGGTTCAGAGGAGCCTGTCTAAAGTTTGGTCAAGGAGAGAGTTTTTGTCAATACACATATAAAAATGAACACATGTTAAAGATTTTACTTAGTTCGTGAGGAAACAGGCAGATGTTATAAAGGGGTCAAAAGAAAATCTAAAGATCAGGAATACAGAAATGAATATGAAAATGGGGCAAAAACTATTTTTTTCTAGATGTGAGGAGTAGGAGTTATTTGAACCTCTATCAGATAGGACAGAATTTGCATGTCGCTCAATTACTTACACAGAGTTGTAAATAGCTCCATGGGAACAGACTCATATAAAGCAGAAGCGTGTGCTACAGGCAAGTCCCTCAGGTTTCCTATTGGCCATCACTTCTCCCGGGAAACCTTTCGGCAACCATCTCTGTGAATGAGGTGCCATTTCTGAGCTGTCATATTTGTCACACTGTATTTACACCCCCCACACCCCCCACACCCCCGCCGTTCACACACTCAAAACCATGAGCTTTTTGAGGCCCACACTGAGTTATTCGTTTCCCGGTGTGAACATCTGCTTTCACAGAACACAATATGCTAAGGAGGTCGTGGAAGCCACAAAATAAACATACTGCATATTAATGGAACGTCCATTTTACTCTAATATCTGGGGAAACAATTGTGTCCACACTCAATGTTTCCTTGTTTCATTGACAACTGTTTCTATTTCAAGGCCTGCAGGATACCACAGGGATACATAAATGCTCCAGAGCACTGAGCGACTATGTACCCTGAGCAAGAAACTATTTCGATACTAAGTGGCACCAGGATGCAGGGAGCTCCACGGACTCACAGAGGAAGGGGCCCAACCTAGCCAGGGCTGATGGCGGGGCCTTCGGACGTGCCAGAAACTGACCCGTCGGCCTCTCGGTCAGTCTCGGCCCTGAGCTGCTGTTTTTACAAGTCTGACGGGTGGGGAATGGGCTTCCGCCAGGAGTCACTTCGGTGTGGATGAGCAGCCACGCCAGCTCCCCGGGGGTCGAGTCCCTTGCCGTTTGTCACCTAGCCCGCTCCGAGCTCCGCCCGGCCGCGCGGCGCTCCGGCTCTGCACCGGGTCTGCCCGGAGGTGGGGCCTGTAACACGAGGCCCCGCCCCGTGACGCGAGGCCCCGCCCCCGGCCGAGCCGCGCTCCCACCCTGCGTCCCACCGGCCCCCCCGGAGGCCCCGCCCCGTGACGCGAGGCCCCGCCCCACCAGCGCCCGTTTCCAAGATGGCGGCTGCAGTTCCTGCCCGGCTGTCAGGGTGGCGGTGACGACGGGAAGCCGAGCAGGTATGTGGTCTAGGTATGTGGTGGGGTGAGAGGCCCGGCAGAAAGCTTCGGGCCGTTGGGAGGAGAAGCTCTGGGCAAAGGCTGCAGAGCCGCTGGAACAGGCAGCCGGTCCCCGGTGGAAGCGTGGACCGAGGCTCCCAGCGCCAGGCGGGGCGAACGCGAGAGGCGGGTGGGGTGGGGGGGCTGCTCCGACCGCGCGGGGCCGTCAGCCCCTGCAGAACGCTGACCACGCCCCTCCAGGTGAGCCAGCCCAGGTGCCCCTGCCCGGCTCTGCCCAGCCCTCCTCTCCCGCCTCGCCTTAGCAGTAACCTCCTGCCCGCCCCGCTAGGACTGGGGGAGGTAGAAAAGGTAGAGGACGCCTCCCCCACGCTGCGCCCCGCCGCGCCTCGGGGTGTTTGCTTGCAGCTCCCAGGTGGTCACGCTCCCTGCACCTGCGGAGCTGGCTCCCAGACACGTCAGGAATGGAAAGGAGCCTGTTTCCTGCTCCGCCCTGGGTCTCTCGAGACCGCTCCACGGTCCTGTCGTGACTGCCTCATCCCCTGGCGAAAATAACATATCCATTAGTTGCCCTGTCCCCACTCCCCAAACAGGTCAGTCCTGTTGGGGGGAGATGGTTGAGTCCGGAGTTGACCTGCAGCTGCGGGGTCGCCTGTGGGAGAGGCCAGCAGAACAGCATCTGCTCTCCCCTCTTTCCAACCACTTTCTCTCACCTTCCCTGCAGGGAAGCCAGCTTCTGCCTGATCCCGGGTCCTGCCCCGTGCGCTCGTTTGGTTACCCTTGCCCACTTTTGTTCCACCTGTCCCAGGTACGCTGTTGGAGTACTGGATGGAGCCTTTCTCTGTCCTCTGTGACATTGCCAATTTTAGATGATGCCTCACATCTCTGCTCCCCCGGGACCCCCTGCAGCCCCCATGATCTGGAAGAAGACAGTTTGAGCCGAGGTTAGTCTGTCTCATCCCCTCTAAATTGGAAGGGAGGTTTCCCAGTGGCGCCTCTGAACTGGGGGGTAGGGACGGAGAGTAGATGGCAGCAGTGTTGGGGAGGGGTGGAGGAGAGTGAAACTTGGGCTGGGAGTGACAGGTGTTAGGGCTGCTGGTGGTGACATTCTCTCTCTTCCCCTTGCGTGACCTCAACCGCGACATGTGCACGCCCTTCTGTGACTTTGCTCTTTGCCTGTTTTTCCTTTACCCTGCACCACCTCCAGCAGAGAGGGTCTCTGCTGGCTGTTCCTTTCCTGCCTGCCCCCAGAACTGTCCTCTCTCCCTCCACAGACCTCACAGCCCAGGATGTTGCGGAGGCTGCTGGAACGGCCCTGCGTGCTGGCCCTGCTCGCGGGGTCCCAGCTGGCCGTCATGATGTATCTGTCGCTGGGTGGCTTCCGCAGCCTCAGTGCCCTATTTGGCCGAGAGCAGGGGCCCACATTTGACTATTCTCACCCCCATGACGTCTACAGTAACCTCAGCCACCTGCCTGGGGCCCCTGGGGCCCCAGGTGGCCTTCCAGCTCCTCGAGGCCTGCCCTACTGTCCAGAGAGGTCCCCTTTCCTAGGTGAGTACAGAGGGAAGGAGGGGTGAAGGGAAGGCCAAGGGGTGGGGACTGGGAGTCTTGGGAAGGCAAAGGTGGCAGGGTTGGGACTTAGCCCAGGAGGCTGATGTAACTGAAGGTGGGCTGAGGCTGACATAGAGAGGACTCTGCGTTTGCAGTTTGGACTCTGGGGCTCAGCCACTACTTTCCATCGCCTGCCCTATCTGGGCTTCTTGTCTCAGACCAGAAAGTGTTCGCTTTGTAAGTGAACCCCAATTTCTTAGTGAGGCAAGTCCTTGTGTTCTCTCCACCCTTAACTGTAGCCCTCAGCCGTGAGGCAGGAGAGCTTGTGGAACCCTAAAATAAGAGGGTAGGCTGGGTAAGGAGCCTGCACCTTCCACTTTGCAGAGCTGTCCCAGTGATGGGGAACTCAAGGCTTGTGAGATTTCTGAGTGAGCCCTTGGGGGGTCACTGAACCCCCAACCAAGACTGCCAGGCCCCAGGTGATCCCAGTCCCTGGAGGTTCTCCTTTTTCCCTCGACCCTCTAATCCTTGACTTGCCATTCCTTCCCGACAGTGGGTCCTGTGTCCGTGTCCTTTAGTCCAGTGCCATCGCTGGCAGACATTGTGGAGAGGAATCCCCGGGTGGAAGCGGGGGGCCGGTACCGCCCCGCAGGGTGTGAGCCCCGCTCCCGAACGGCCATCATCGTGCCCCACCGTGCCCGGGAGCACCACCTGCGTCTACTGCTCTACCACCTGCACCCCTTCCTACAGCGCCAGCAGCTCGCTTATGGCATATACGTCATCCACCAGGTACTCCCCCCACACACACCCTATGTCTTGTAAGGAAGCTGCGAGTAAACGCCCCTCCTCTGATGTGTCCTGGGAGCTCTTTCAGACGGTCAGACTTGAATGTGGGGCATTATCTGGCACTGCCTGCCGACTTGCTAACCCTGCACTCATTCTGTTGAGGGTATTCCCACGGTTCTTGTGATCAAATCAACACTCTTGTGATTTGTCCTTTGTTGAACTTGGAATGTGACAGAGTAGGACTAAAATTGTAGCTCAGACATGTGTTCCATATGTGGCTTTAAGCAAGATGCTTGCCCCCTGAAGTGGGGCAGAGTGATGACAGGCACACATGTACATGGCACAGCTGGTGCCTGTCAGGAAGAAATGAACAGTCACATGGCAGTACAGATGCATGTGCTGTTGTTGCTCAGACATATGGTGAATGAACGAAAAATTGAAGGTAGCTTCTCTCTCTTCATTCCCTTTGCCCCGTCCCACTTTGATTTCTCCCTTTCCACTTTTATACCTCAGCCCCTCTTATCTGCGCTACACATAGCCTGGTCCCCCTCACTGTCTTTCAGGCTGGAAATGGCACATTTAACAGGGCAAAGCTGCTGAATGTTGGGGTACGAGAGGCCCTGCGTGATGAGGAGTGGGACTGCCTGTTCTTGCACGACGTGGACCTCCTGCCAGAGAACGACCATAATCTGTACGTGTGCGACCCCAGGGGCCCCCGGCACGTGGCTGTTGCCATGAACAAGTTTGGATACAGGTAGGAGGCATGAGAGGATGCTGAGACCACCACCCACAGGGGAGGCAAGCTGAAGGGATAGGGTAGGGGCATGTCCCAGACCTGTGGAACCCAAGGACCTTTCTCTCCCTAGCCTCCCGTACCCCCAGTACTTTGGAGGGGTCTCGGCGCTGACTCCTGACCAGTATCTGAAGATGAATGGCTTCCCCAATGAATACTGGGGCTGGGGTGGTGAGGATGACGACATTGCTACCAGGTCAGACTTCCTGCCACCCCCACCGCCCCCTAGCCTGGATCCCTGTCCTCTGAGGCCACCCCTGGCTGTGACCCTTTAACAGTGGCCTTAGCCCCTAGGTCCTGCCCTGTGCCCAACCTCTCCCTTAGTCCTTTGGGCCACCCAGGTCAGGCTTTGCATGCCACTCTCCATCTGTCACCCTTTAGTCTCCTAGATCATGGGATCCAGAGCTGGGAAGAGCCTAGACAGCTCAGGCCTTCCTTCTGCGAGGGTCGCATAGAGATCATTTCCTATGGGTCTGGAGCAGGAGGCACTCTTATAGCCCAGTATCATGTGTTGTCAAAGCCTGTGCCATTGGCATGTGAACTTTTCTCATGTGAAGCATTTGACCTTCAGCCTCAGCTGACCCAACTTCGTATCTGTGAATAGTGGAGCTTGATACACTGGATCCATTGCTTCCCCCCGCCTTGTGCTCTGCAATGACATCTTGTTGAATTCTTGTCTTGTGGGTAAAGCACTCAGCAACTCCTATATGCCTTCTTTCAGCACTTTCCCAGGCCATCTTCATTTTTGCTTCTGTGTCAGAGTTGGGGTTTGTTCCTTTGCCTTGTTCCACCCTTTCCTTCTCATGGAGCAGGTGGTGCAGGGCAGACAGGAGGCAGCTCAGCCCCTCTTCTAGTGAGAACCGCTGGGCTTGGGTCTGTAGCTCCATCTTGTCCTGTCCTTTAGACAAAATGGCTCCTGTCCCTGTCCCTCCCAGACTGCAAGGGCTGTTCCCAGGATCCACTCAGGGAGGAGAGGTGGGAGGTGCAAACCTGCTCTGCCAATTGCTTACAGGCCCCAGGGTACCTCGCAAGAGGCCCTGAGGGCTTGCTCGTCCTCAGCCAGTTCCTTCCTTCTGTTGGGCTTCCTCTCCCCTTCCAGGACTTGGCACTAATGAGAAATAGTTCCCTTTCTGGCCTAACTGGTAATAGGACAGAGACGGGCCGTCCCTTCCTTGCTGGCCCTGTGCACCTGTCACCAGCTTTCCTCCAGCCTGGTCCCCAAGGTGTCCTCTCTTTCTGCAGGGTCCGCCTGGCTGGCATGAAGATCTCCCGCCCCCCCACATCCGTGGGGCACTACAAGATGGTGAGGCACCGGGGAGACAAGGGCAACGAGGAGAACCCCCACAGGTAGGAGCGGAGGCAGCCGGGAAGCGGGGCTGGCCTCTGCTCTGCACTCCAGCCAGGGGACTCCCCACTGTTCCTCTCTGGGTCTTAGTCCCTAACCTCTAACCCCTAACCCTCAGATTTGACCTCCTGGTCCGCACCCAGAATTCCTGGACGCAGGATGGGATGAACTCGTTGACATACCGACTGCTGGCTCGAGAACTGCGCCCTCTCTACACTAACATCACAGCGGACATCGGAACGGACCCTCGGGGTCCCCGGACTCCTTCCGGCCCCCGTTATCCACCTGGTTCCTCCCAGGCCTTCCGTCACGAGATGCTGCAGCGCCGGCCCCCAGCCAGGCCCGGCCCCCCGCCTACTGCCAACCACACGGCCCCCCGGGGCTCACACTGACCCCTCCTTCCTGCCCCTCAATCATGAAGCTGAATCAAGAGGGCTCCTGTTCTCCCCCCCAGCTCCTCACTGCTCTTAGAGGGATGTGGGGGGTCTGACTAGTGCTGTGCTGGGGCAGGGGCCTCTCCTCACTGCTGGACTGGAGCTGGGCTCCTCTAGACCTGGGGGGCCCTCTTTCTAGGGTCACCTGCCAGGGCTATGACTGTGAATCCTGGTGTCATGATTTTATGTGATTACTCCTGGGAGCCCCCTGCCTCTGGGCCAGGAGCAGGGCTGGACCCCAAGTCCCTTCCTCTTCCATGGAGAGAAGAATGACCTGGCTTCTCCCGGGACCCCTGTGAATATTTATTCTATTTATGGCTCCCAGGAAGTGTTGGTGAAGTAAGCCTCTCCCTGGGTGCTTTCGGCCAGTGCTGAGCAGCTCCCTTTCTGGGCCTGGCTTGGGGACTGGGATTTTGATATCTTTTCTAATAAAGGACTTCGTCTTGCCTCTGCCCCTGCTTTCTGCATCCCAGGCCCCCTCCTCGCCCCTGCCCAGAGCTGACAGAACGGCCACCAAGCCGCACTCCAGCAACTTTTATTTTCATGGGTGACAGATGCCCTGCCAGCAAGGGCAGGGAGGGGTGGGGTAAGGCTTAGCTGCTGGGTTCTGAGCCCAGAACCCGGGCTGCTGCCTGCCGCCCACTCTCTATACAGTCGTTCACAGCAACCCCCTCATAGGAGGCTCCGGCCAGAGTCAGGGGTAGCCTGTGAGCAGCCAGGAATCGGGTGGCTGACTCTGGAAAGAAAGGACACGAGGAATGTTACAGCTGGTCACTCACTGCTTGGCCCTCTTCAGCCCAGCTGCTTTCCCATCGTACCCAGTTTTTTCCAGTGGCCTAGTGTATACTGGGGGATGCAGTTCTGGGGAGAGAAGAGATAACGGGAAAAGTTCATGACTGATGTCCCAGGACTGAGTGGAGGGCTGCGGGGCCTTTCTCCCAGCTCACCCTGTGCAGGTGGACCAAGCAGTGACTTGGTGGCTCCTTCAGCCCTAACTGTGTGGCAGCTGCTTCCTGTGCCTGCTGTTGGAGCATTTCCTGAGATAAGGCAGAGCCCTTGGCCTCCAGCGTCTGGAACCAGGAGCCTCCTAGCATCACCTAGGGGGAGAACGCGGCACTGAGCAGCCTGGCCGTACCCCCACCGGCCCAGACAAGCCCTTGGGAAGCCCCTCTCACAGTCACTCTGAGGCCAGGGGGGCTGCCATCCTGCTCGGGAAAAGCCACTGAGTCGTACACAATTCCCAGGACGCCTGGGTCTTCTGAGGATGGCACCAAATGTCCAAATCCCTGGAGAAGAGGGGCCTGGGTCAGCAGGGAAGGGTTGAGGCAGAGCCCTTGTCCCCCTTCCTTTGTGTCACCTGTACAGGCAGACGGGCTCGTCGGTACTGCAGGTTCACCACGGCCACAGACACTGCAGTGATGGTGCCCAGGACACGGGCCAGGGGCGCAGCGTCCGCAGGGAGCAGCCGGCTGAGCACTAGAGGGAGCAGGCAGAGCAGGTAGAGGCACTCACACTGCCGCTTCCTCATCCTTCCAGGGACTGGCCTCCCGGGATGACCAGTTTGGGGGTACAGCATGGTCCTGCTGGTCCAGAGACCTACAGCCTGCCTCACCCTGGTTGGAGAAGGGGAGGGCGGCTGCCCCATTACCTGAAGCTGGAACGGCACTAATGACATGGTCAGCCTCCAAGCTGCGGTCCCCTAGAGACACCTGACAGGATGAAAACATTTGAGATACAGACATAATGGGAAGTTTGCCTCAGCTTCCCAGGCACCCAAGTGGCAGGAGACGGAGTCCTGACCCAGGGTGAAGAGACGGAGCGACTGTGTAGTCAGCCCCCAGTCACCCTCCTATCACTCCAGGAAATGGGCCAGACGGGCCCGTGTCCACTCTGGAATGTCCAGCAGGGGTGGGTGCTCTTTTCCCTATCTCTCAGCCACTTATAAGCACGACATCTACCCACAGACTTAGGTCAATGGCTCTTGGAACAAGGTCCACAAGCCAGGCCTAGGAACGGGGGCAGCCCACACTTAAATAGTGTCTAGGGCACCAGTGAGTAACTCCAATCCTGTCAGCTGGGGCCCGGCTGCAACATTTAGGCAGAAATGGAAACTCCAACACAGGTTCATCACACTCCAGGGGGCTCTCCTACCTTCCAGTGCCCTTCTGTCTGGAGGCTGAGCCCACTGACTGGTTGGCCTCTGAGAACACTGACCCCCCTGTGAGTCAGGTGCGTGGTAAGTGCCTGGGGCAACATCTCCAGCCCTCCACGGAGTGACCACTGGCTCCAGCGCTCAGCTCGGGCCTGGCGAATGATGGCTGAGTCTGGCTGCGAGCTCTGCCCTGCACCAAGGAAGCAGAGAAGAATCACAATAGCACCCTTTGCCTCCAGCCCCTCACCCTGGCTGCCCCTAATAGATTCATCCTTGAACTAGTGCCGCCCTCACCTGCCCCCAGCAGCAGCCCCAGTAACACGGAACGATGGGTTTGCTCAGCTCGGTAGAGGCTCGGGAAGCAGGACCTGACGCTGAGCTCGCGGCTGTTGCCTGCAAATACTCCGCGGCAGAGGCTGTCCATGGCTAGAGACGCCACCTAGAGGTAGGTGAGCCTGGGACTGAGGCCCGCGCTTGGTGGGGGATGGGTAGGGTAGGGTGCGGGCTGGGACACAGTCCTCCATCACAGAAGCATGAGAAGGACGTGAAGGCATTTGCCCCCAACACCGAGTTCTGGGGACCGCTCGGTATGAACAAAAAAAGGGCATTCCCAAATGCTGCATTAGAGCCCCTCGGGGGCTCTGCAGCTGGCTTAGGAGGGGGGGGGGAATTTGGGGACTCGGGCAGTGTCACCTCAGGTCCAAGGCGGCGCTCGGCGAAACTGTGCACAGTCTCATCAGGGTCTTTGCCGCGGGGCGTGGTCAGCTCCCTCAGCCCAGCCCAGAACAGAGGCTTGGAGAAGGGAGGTGAAGGACGGAGAAGCCCCCTGCAGAGAGGAAGGGGCTGACTTACCATCCCGGCTCCAGGGGTCACTTCCATTCATTGACCCCTTTGCCTTGGAGGGCTGACAGACTGGGGACATGAGGAAATGGAAGGGATGTGAGGCTGGGGCAAAGCAGAAGGATGGGCACTAAGGAAGTGACAGTGTTACCTGAAGCCAGAGGGCAGGGCATGCAGGGCCCCACCCACATACAGGAACCTGTTCTGGGCAGCTGGATGGTCTCCGCGGACAGGTAACACTTCTGAGCCCAAGCCAAGCTCGGAAACCTGCGCTCCACCCGTCCTCAGGAAGAGGAGAAACTGAGGAACGAACCGACCACCGAATACGCTTCCTCCCGCCAACGCCGTCCTCTGACGTGTCCCCTCCCCCGCAGCCTCTCACCAGGAGCAGGGTCCGGGCTCCCAGCGCTCCCGCGGGCCGAATTCCTCGAGGTCCAAGTTCAAAGACAGCACCGTCTGGCCCTCGTACAGAACGGATCCAGCCTCCCAGACGCTCGCTGCCCTCCACCAGGACCACCTGGGGTCAAGGGAGAGAGCCCGCGGCATGGCCTCCTGCCGGGTGGGAACGGGTCTGCAGCGGCGGGGGGCGGCGCGTTCCCTCCCGCACGTGGGCACTCACCTTGGGGGCACAGGGGGCCCGGCTCAGGTAGTAACTGGCGGCCAAGCCGCTGATGCCTCCGCCCAGCACGACCACGGTGCGGCCCATTGGGAGCCTGGGGGAGAGGGGCGAGGCGGAAGGCTGAGCAGGGGCGCCCTGTCTGCAGGAACCCCGCCGCTTACTGCGTTGGGGAATCTGGGGCCGCGACGTCCCGGCCCGGAGCAGGGCTCACCCGCGAGAGGGACGAGAGGACGCGCGGCAGGAGCGGGTGGCGGGCTGAGGACTTCCCGCCGGCGCTCCGCGGGAGGGCGGGCAGGGGCCACACCCGTGCTATCTGCCCGCGCGGGGCCCGCAGCCCCCGGCGCCGCCTCCGCCCCCGGCCCTTTCGGTCCCTCGGACTCGCCGTCCAGAGGGCTCTCGCGGCTCGCGCAGGCGCAGCACTTACTGCTTCTGGATTGGTGGGTCCGGGAAGGCCCCGGATGCCACTCACCAATGAAAAGCCCGAACGGGTCGCGGAGCCGGCTGCGTGGAGCCGGAGGTTACGGGTTGGGTGCCGGGTGGGCGTGAGCGGTCGCGCCCGGCGCTGCCCTCCCCCGGGCCGGGGCGGCGAGAGCTGCGTCCCAGTCAGCGCTGCCCTGCGCCGAATCCCGGGCTCGGCGACGGTGAGACCCCGAGGGGACGGCCCCGTGCGCCTCGGCTGCAAGGAGACCGGCTGGGCACCCTGGAGGCTGGTCCGCGGGGAGGCGGCGCCACCAACAGCTCCTTGATGGTAGCAACAGCCTGGGCCTGCGGGAGCGACGGCCGCCCGGCAACGCACCCGGTGTTTGTCAACAGGGTCCTGGGGTGCCGGGGCCAGCCCGCTTCGGACGCAGAACCCGTCGCCCCAGTGCTTGCCCTCTGGTTCCGGGCTTCCCTCTTTCCTCCCGTGCAAACCTTCACCGCTTGGGCAAACTTGGCATCAAGGCATCCCAGGAAGACTCCAGCGCGGCCCAGCCCGAGCCCAAATACAGATAAGGACATCACCTTTTCTTAATAAATTTATTCACAAAAAGTGAGGCTGTGGAGGTCTGGGGGCTGTACACAGGCAGGGCCTGGGGAACTCTGTACATGGGCCGGGAGACGAGGGGACCCCCACGTGGGAGGGTGCTTGTTAATAAAAAAAATAATGGGAGCTACAACCACGCCCTCCCCCTCCCCATTAAAAAGACACAAAAATAGACGTCTCTGAGGTAAATGGGAAGCCTGGGGCTTAAGGGCGTTGCAAGGGTTTCACAGGTGCCAGGGCTTAAAGGGGGCGTCACAGGCACCGGGCTGGCTCCTGCATCAGCTGGTAGAACAGCACGTAGCCCTCACTGGATGCCACCTGGTTTTCACTGACAGGGGAGACACTAGGAGGAAGGGAGATGGGGATGCGCTTGTGGTCATTCCTGCATATTCCCTCCTGCCCACTAGGTCACCCTCACAGCATGCAGGAAGCCACGGGAGAGACCCCACCTCTCCTTTCACCAGGCACTCTGCCCTCCTGGGGCTTCATGTTGGGGGAGGTGTCCGGGCTGCAGTGGGAAGGGCAGGAGTCAGGCAGGAGGCCGTTCTCACCGAGAGTCATTGTAGACATGCCAACCAGTCTGGCACCGGCACAGGGCTGTGTAGTGGCCATAGTGGACGCTGCCCGAGTGGTTGCAAAGGGCATACAGCTGATACACAGGGCTTCCTGCAGAGGTAGAGACCCTCCGATTCTACAACCGTAGCTGTGCGCACTCCCACTCTCCTTCCCCATCCTGGTGCTCCTGAGGACTTTCCCTACCAGACGCACCGGCTTTGTCACTGGCAAAGTCCCCTAGGCTCAGTCGCTGCAGTGGGAAGTCTACACCTACGGAACTTTTCTTGATGGAGCCTCGGGAGGCAGAAAATCGGTTAAGATCTAAGCCTTGGTTAAGGAGCATTTGGAAGAGGCAGAGAGCCTCTGAGGGGGACTGAGGTCTCGATGCTGTCCACTCCCCCCCCCCCCCCCCCCCCCCCCCCACACACACGTGCAGGGAGCATGGCAGGGAAGGGTGGAGTGGCAGCTTGTCCCAAGGAAAACTCACTTCCCAAGTGTCCAGCCTCTGCAAATGTGGGGAATGAGAAAAGGGAATGGATGGAAGAAATAAGAATTTGGAGATCAGGATACGGAGCACGAGGATCCGAGGGAATCTTTGTACTGTCAACTTTTTGGTACTTCGTGTCTTCTGCTGACATCGGTCACACACCTGAAAAAATGTCACTTTAGGTTACTGTGCTTCTCACCTCGACTGGCTCTCGCCACACCCTGACCCACACCCACACCATGCTCTCCATTACTTTTGTCTTCTGGGTCACTCCCTTTTGTCCTTGGAGTATGAGGACACAACTGAGACCCCAAACAGACCCAGACACACAAGTACTGTGCCCCACACTAAGGCATCACGCAACCCCTTTGACCCATATGGTGGCCCCAGCACCTCACCCCTGCCGTACCCCTTGTGAACCCTACATACCGGGGCATTCTCCAACTCCAGCTCTTCTTCCTTGGTGAAAAGGCTGAAACAGTCCCGCAGAGACACCTTGCCCCCAGCAAACCCTTTCTGGACAGAAAGGGAACAAAGGGTCAGCGTATTCTGAATTTCCTCTTCCAGCTCTTTTCAGTCAATCCAGGCTTCAACTGTGCTCCGGAGACCCAAAGCTTCCTGCCCACACTCTAGGGTGGGTAGGGTTGGGTAACCGAACCCATATCCCATCCACCCCTGGAATCCCACCTTGGGGATGGGCAGGGACAGGTCACAAAAAACCTCGAAGGTCGTGGAGCGATACCCACAGGCCTGGCACTTGAGGCAGCTTTTCAACTGGCCCACAAACAGGTCTAGGGAGAGGCAAAGGGGCAGGAGAACAGTCACTGTGGGCACTGCGAGGCTGCCTGGGGTTCGTCTCTCACCACCCCTTTGCCCCACTCTCCCCCCACCCCACTCCTAACAAGGCCCTCACACCCTTCCCACATTGTCATCACCCAGTCATCCCCACAGCCTTGATAGCATCGCTTTTGTCCCCGAAGCACGCACCCCCTCCCCCCCGCCCATGTCCTCACAGCTGTGCCCCATGCCATACCCACAATCTTGCTGTCCTCTCGCTCCAGGTAACGCTTCCACATTAAGTTAGCGTGGTCATCGTCACTACCACAGGTCAAGGAAATGGGGAGCACCCATGAGACAGCAGGAACACTGGGCACCCCAAACACCACCGGAAGGATCCACAGAGCCCTGTACCCCACCCATACTTCAGCTTCTTCTCTAAATTTCAAGGAAGGGTCAAAGGAGTAACGCTTCAGAGGACTTTCTGGGGAAATCCAACGTGAGAAAGAGCATGCTGTCCTCCTCCTCGGGCTCCGACCCTAACGTGCCTCCGGTCAGTCACCCTCCTCCCTCAGCGGGGTGACTTGCAGCCTCCTGCCTTCCTCCCACTTCTGCACTTCTCAAACCATGTTTTGGGTTAAGGATTTCCCTGGACCCTATGTCCCCAATCTTGACCAGCTCAGTTCTGTGAAGGAAGTAGCTGCTGGTCAGCTCCTGGGGAGAAGAGGGAGGGGGCAGCCTTACCTTAACTCAGGTTCTCCTAGCAGAGCCCCTCCGCGGCGGGGTGGGGAGGGCGCTACACTGTTGGCCAGGAGTGGTGCGGCCCGGCGGCCCCGGCGATTGATTTCAAGGTGTAGCCGCTCCATGAGGAGCTTCAGGAACTCTTGGGCATCTTGCTGGCTACAGCCAGAGTATGGGCGACTGACCCCACCTGTCCATAGACACCAGCCCCTGCCCAGACCTGGGTCCCCATTCCTGCCTGAAGAACAGCTCAAGGTTCAGAACGGTGCCACGAGGGCCCCTGATTGGCCCTACCCAACACCGCCAGAGAAATCCCATACCCTCCAGCTCTCCCACCTGTATCCAGAGAAGGAGGGAACGTATTTCTGGAAGACAGCTCGGAACCGAGTAGGATTGACAGCTTCACACGAGTCAGGGTGCCACAGGGCACCAATCACATCTGCAAAGGCTATCAGGGTGGGAGTGGGGAGGGAGACTAAGGTGAGTGACCGCACAGACAAGCAAGAGACTCAGGAGGTGGGAAACACCAGGACAGCAGGCACTGGGGGTGACAACTGCCAGATGTGGGGGTTGGGGGCACCAGCATGGGCATTTGGGTCTGCAAGGAGTTAGGGAAAAGAGGATGGGGGGGCAGGAGTCGATGCCCACCTTCAGTGAGCTCTTGGGCTCGGCCCCCTCCGGGCACCTCTTGCCGGAAGTCCCTCCGCAGACAGAAGTCCCGAAGAGGCCGAGTGCTGCTCAAACACTGCAGCACAGCGTTGAGGAAGCACTGGGGAGCAGACACACTGCCATCATCCCTCCAGACCTGTGCCCAGGAAGGGCTTCTGTGCCCTCCTTCCCCGGGCCTTCCCCCAGTCAGCAAATTCCCCGCCCCCAGCACCAGTCACCTTCCTGTTAGAGAGGAAGGACAGGAGAATGGCTCTCACCGTGTTCCCCAGATTTCGGAGGCCAATATGACCAGAGCCGAGAAGCAGTGTGTGGGGAGCCTGGAAGGTCAGAGGACAGTCAGAAGGTTGCCCTATGTCTCAACTAGCACTTCAACGTTTCAACAGCATGCTGCCCGCTGCCGCCCCCAGGCCATACTTCACTCCCAAACTCCACCCTCTTTCCCTCACTGGGTACTGGGGTCTCCCTACCTCACTGGCCATGAGCAGGAAGCCCATCACAGCTGAGTGTAGCACGGACTCAGCCAGGGCTGTCCCACCTGTTCCCCACTTACTCCTCTGCCCAGCTAGCCGGCGCTGCAGCTCCTGGGGCAACTCTCCAAGCACTGGCATGGCTGCCCAGCTGCTCCCCACTCCCACCTTGCTGCCTCCAAGGCCCCCTCCCGCCCCCGTGGCCCCTTCCTACACCCTCTCCTGGTGGCTCCAAACACAATCAGCCTAGCTCTCTTGGCTCTGGAAATGGCAACCACAGCTCAGGTGTTCTGAGCTTGCCCCTTTCAGCCCTAGAGACTAATTAGGCCTAGGAGGTGTCCTGGGAGAGAAGGTGCAGCCAGGGAAAGTAAGGGCCTGGGGACCCAAAGGAGAATTCCAAACAGTTGGGTCAATTTCCTGGGGACTGAAGTGGCCTCGCATGCTGAGGAGTCACAGACAACCCTGCGATGGTCCTTCAGTAGGGGACAGGACAGCAAGTGCTGTAACGAAGGGTTGAGAAAGGGACATGGGAAAAGGGGACAAGAAACCCATATGGTGGCAAGAAAGCCAGACGCGTGGAGGAACACAACAATGCAAGGCCACGTGTGCTGGCAAGTCCTCACCATCTTGTCATCGGAGTAGAAAGGCTCGGGGCGCCGGGCAGATATCACATGGAAGGTGCCGTGGGAAGTAGGGGGCTCTGTCCGTATGCTGAGCAAGGCTGGGGGCCCAGGAAAGCCCCCGAGGCGGCGGAGAGAGGTGCTCCGTCTCAAAGCAGGGGGCTCAGGCCGGAGCACCAAGCGGCTTAGTGCAGCCCCTAGCTCTCCAGTGCCTCGATGCCCTCCCAAGGCAGTTCCCATTGGACGCAAGTCTCCGCTGCTCACAGACTTGGAACGAGCTAGGCTGGTCCTGGACAGGAGAGGAGGGGCCACAGTTGGGGGTGGTGAGCCAGGCAGGGGGACTCCATGATCTGCCCGAAGGGGGCCTCTGGGACGAGATCCTGAGGTCCGTCCCCGTCCCAGCTCCAGCTTCTTGAGCCGTTCCTCAGGTGGACCTGGCCGGGGAGGCAGAGGTCGTAACAGGGGGTTCGGCCCAGGAACTGGGTTTCGGCTCTCCTTGCTGTGGGCCCCGGGGGCAAATGGTAGTTTGGATCCCACTCGGGGCTGGACATTAACAGGTGGCTCTCGGGTCCGGCCCAGGCGGTGCTCAGAGGCCTGGGGCATTGTGGACACCACAGGCTGGACCTGGGAGGGGAAGAGAGGGTCAGCATGTGAGTACGGAGGGAGGTGGGAACCTGAGCCACCATACTAGCTTCTACTTGCAGAGCCAGTACCTAACATAATGTTTGACACAAAGCAATACTTAGTATTGAGTAACTAAATGAAGGGATGATAGCAGCCCTCTGCCGTGACTCTTTCTACATTCCTTATGTCCTTCCTGCAGAATACAGCTTTGCTGGAAAGCCAATGATAGCCTCTATCTCTGATGTCTTCATAATCTGACACTCGTGACAAGCACCCCCATACCTGGTAGTCAAGCGGGATGTGCCCTGCGTCACTTAGGACCCAGGTCCTGCGAGTGTAACAGCCCAAAAGACGGCGTGCCATGCTCAACCCCTGCCCCTCCGGGCAGCAAGTGAAGCCGACTACACGGGTGACTTGCGAACGACTCCCTCCCCCACCCTAGAGCTCCAGCGTGGTGCAGGGGTTCAGGGGCAGCGGAGGGGAGGGAGGACGAACAACAATTTCTGCGCCCGCCCCCCACCCAAGCGGGGCTTCAGCTGGGTCCGCCCCCCTCGAGGGCAGAAAGGCCGAGGCCGCTGATTGGCCAGGAGTCCGGCGGTGCATTCCCCACGGCCCACGGATGCTGTCCCTCCAGCTCAGTTCGCACAGGCCTGCCGGGTCCCCCGTGCCTCTGCCTTTGTGGAGGGAGTCCTCCCGCGTCCGGGGAAGTCTTCCCTCGGACCCCCACGCCATAGCGCCGCGGCCCGTACCTGTCCCCCGGTGAGGCGGCGGGGGAGGCCAGCCGGAGCCAGGCCCCAGCTCAGGGCCACCCCCCACTGCCCCCGTGAAGCACCCCTGCGGGCCCGGCTGCAGCTTCAGCCGCAGCTATCGCCCAGGTCGCTCCCGCCGCCGGGGCCGCCGCCATCTTTGCCGGTCTCACGGGCCACCGGCCGCCGGCTTCACCGTCGCTCACGGCGCCTGCGCAGCCACTTTCGGAACCCACCGCCTGCTTCCTCGGCGCTTGCGTGAGCCCGCCCCCTTGGCTCCGCCGCCGCCGCCGCCGCCGCCGCCGCCGCCATGGAAACGCAGCCAACTTGAGGACTGCCAGTTCCCAGCCCTGCCCAGAATTGTCTTCCAACGATTGCTGCAGACCAACTCCCTGGAGTATAGGTCCCGTCACCCTATCCTGCCGCCCATAGGGATGTGGATCTGACAACTGCAATGTGACCTCCAGGCTTGCAGCAGATCCCTCCCAGGGCGCTGGGGTCCAGCACTCCACGTAGGGATGGCAATGCCCTGCGGGGTGTGAATGCTGGCCAGCAGCACTGTCCCTCAAGCACCACGCAGGCCAAAGCAGGAGGCTCCCTGCTAAAGGACAGGAGGGTCTCAGCAGCAGGGAGAGCAGTCAAGGTTTTTCCTTTCATTCCCCAGCTCCCTCCCAAACTAATGTACCTGTATGTGTGCCTTGGGCCTTGGCTTGCTCACCTCTGTTACCAACCACCAAGGAGCACCACAGACTACCAGAGGAAGCAGCATTTATTGATGAGTTATCTCCAGAAACCAAAAAGACTACGCACCCACTTTCAGTCACCCCCATCCCTCCAGGATCTCACATGGCTCCACCGGGGAAGAGGTATAAACTGCCTTTTGTTTTTCCAAAACCTCAGTCTTTCCCCTCTCTGTGTAGCCAAACTTAGAAATTCAGTAGTAATACTGTTTTTCTTTCCCCAGCAATGCTGGAAACTTGGTACTGCTGCAGCTACTTAGTAATTGTGGGTGAAGGGGTGTGAGGGAAGCAGTTACTTGAGTAAGAAGAGGGGCACAGGAAGACAGGCGCTAGTGTTATCAAAGGTCCCTGTGTGCGGCCCCAGTAGCTTGATCCTTCATTGGTTGCATTTCTCTTTATGCTGAATTACGCCTTTCTGAATCAAATCGGGGATTTCCACTGCCAGCCATGGACCCAGCTGTAACACAAGGAAGACCCTGTGAGATTACTATCACCCAGTCAATGTCTCTTGTTTCAGCAGCTCCTTCCTAGGGAGATTTTCAGGGAACATGCCCAAAAGAAAATACTTCTCTTGTTGACTCTCAGTTACTTTCTTATACTGCTCAGGACCTGGCCTACTTACCCCCTTACCCCCCGCCCCATATACTTATACCAAATACCCCAAACTTACCCCCAGAGCCATGAGATGAGCTAGTCCAAACTTGGGCACATTCCTGGCCCACAAAGGCTTAAAGTGATCAGTTAGGCATATTTTGCCACCCCTATGAGAGGGACAAGAGATAAGAAGGTGTTGACATGCAAGATTTACCATAAAGCAAGCAGCCTCTTGGGAGCACAGGGTCAGATGAGCACTTCGCCAGGCTCAGCAGGAGGCCTGGAGCCCTCTAGGCCAGCAGACTCAGAAAATTCCTGCCTCCCAGTTCTTTTCTAAGCCCTTCTTTGACCCTTTCCATCTCCTATTCAGTCCTACCTGTACATCTTGGCTGTTTTTCCATCCAGTTCAGGGACTGCAATTTCTGGAGCAGTAGTGGGATATGTGATAGGAATCTGGAGGAATTATAAAGCCTTAATAAAACAGAATCAGGATAGAAAGGAACTCATGTCATCAGACACACACACACATTTCTTGGTTGAATTAAAGTGTTTGGCAAGCTCCCCAAGGCGCATATGCACACCAGGACTCGGGACTTGGAGATTGGTAACTGTAAACTATGCTTGAGGTTCTGTAAACTATGCTTGCTTCAAACCTCAGCTTTCCACTCCCATTTAAAGCTTTCTTTGGTCCTTCCAAGAAAGGTTAGCTTGTTAACAATCATGTTATGCCTCCCCTTCTCCCAACCTCCATATTTCCTACTCCATCATACTCACGTCAAATTCTATGTCAAACTCATATTTGAGGAGATCGTGGATGTACCAGCATTTCCCAAACCATCTGTAACAAAGACCAAACCTCAGTCCAGTTTGTCCATCCTTATACTCAAATGACATTGGCTTGGCCTAGGTGACCAGCCTGGAAGACTCATGGGATGGGAACTGGGAAAGTCTGGAGCTGTGGGAGTGGACACGGCTAATATGAAGCAGGAAAGGCTGGCAGTGAGCTTTGAGACACCAAAATGCTCAAGACGTGTGATAGCCCCATCCCCATACCTCACAAGAGGGTCTGCCTACCTACCGAGTCCCTTCCTTGTTGGACTCCAGTCGGAACCAATCATTGTCCGCATTCTTGTTGTTCTCCACATACTAAAAGCAGAGAATTAGGTCTTTGAGAGGGAAGTTGGGGCCAAGGACAGACCCCTTTCCCTCAAAAGAAAAGTGTGTGATTACTTTCTCTCTTAGTATGTTTACCCAACTTTTTTGACATAAGCAAAGCTAAAGACAAAGCTACATTGATAAGCACGGGACTTGCCCAGAGCAGAGAATAGAAAGCTTGGGTTCCACTATATTTAGCACAAAAGATTTGATGATATAGCCTGGGTCTCATTTCTGACAGTGTCAGCTCGCAGCCTACAACTCATTTCATGGGGTACCCCCGCCCTGAGAACCTCACAGTCCTGCTTTTGACTAGCACCCACATGCTGATGACTTCCAAATCTTTCTCTGTTTTTTTGGAGGGCAGTGTCACTGGCCCTCATATGTGGGATCCGAACCAGGGCCCTCTGGATCCCAAGCCAGTTCTTAACCATCGCGCCCCTCGGCCGGCCCTCTTTCTCTTTAATCCAGACCTTTTCTCACTTCAGCTTCAGACTGCAGTATCCAACTGTATATTGAAACTTCTACCTTCGTTTCACAGGTACCCCAAACTCCGCCATTCCCCTGGTCCTTCAGACCTGTTTGTCCACTGCATCAATCTCAGGCAGCAGTATTAGCTTCATTCAGCCACCGACCACCTGGGAGTCATTCTCGACCCTCCCTCCCCTTTACTGTCCCTCGAGTCCTTCACAGTGTCCTGACGATTTCACCTTCTGAATATTCTTCAGATCTACCTCTCCTCTCTATTCTCACTATGGCTGCCGAGCTTGGATCACCTTTTTCTTTCACCTGGATTAATGACAGTTTCCTAACTTGTCTCCTACGGTAAATCTTTTCCCTGTCAATTCTATTTTCCTCTTCTACTGCCACTGCGATTGATCTAAACTCAACTCTGACCATGTTATTTCTCAGTTTAAAACCCTTTAAAGGTATCTCCAAAGCCTCCAAGATCACACTCAAGTGCTCAAACCTCTCTCTCAAGACTTGCCTACTACTCCCTGCCACACATTTGATGCTGTGGCAACCTCTGAACTGCTTAGGTTTCTTCATACACATCGTGGCATTTCTGGCTCCTATTCCTTTGCTCATGTGTCGCTTTTGCCTTGAATGTCCGTCTCTTACCCTCATTTTTATTGGGCTAACTTATGTTTACCGTTTAAGTCTCAGCTCAAGCACTGCCTCTTCCAGGAAGCCTTCCCTAACCAGACCCAAGTGGGTTAGGAATCTGTCCTCCTGCTTCAAAACATCCAGCAGTTTCTCGGCCTCCCTGTCGGTCCCTCCTCCACTTAAACAATGTATTATAACGACTGCTTCTGTCCACCTCAGTATGCTCCACTTTATTCGCCTTTGGATCCCCTTTCTTGGTACCAGATGTACAGTAATTGTTTTTTTAGTGAATGAACGCATGCGGCAGGATAGCTACTGGCCTTTGAAACAGGCACCGCAAGGAAGACAAACTTCCTTCTCCTTACACAGAAGGGAGATTAGCTGAGAGGATGGTTCGTTCCTGTGAGCTCAGTTCCTCAGCTCTCTACAACTAACACTTACTTGAATTTTCAGCTTTAATGTGTGTTCCTCCCTCAGGAAGAGGAAAGGAGGGAGCAGAGAGATGTGGTCCGGGCCTTAGGGCCGCAGGGACTTCTTTTGACCGCCTCCCCTACATCGTGGCGAGCAAGCACCTGGAGCCAGAGGGACACGTCACCTTCCGGGGAGGCGTATCCCTAAAACTGCTTTCAGCCAGAAAGCGTGGTCACACTGTGGCTCCTAACGCGAGCCTTTTCTGCCTGCTCTGCAGCATCCCCAAGTTCCCCAACCCCTCAATTCTCCAATTGCTATGAATTTGGGAATTAAACTTTAAAACCGGAAGCGGCTTCCAGACGGAGCCTATTCCTAAGGACACCGGGTTGCCCGCCACCCTTTTGCGACACGGTCGGCCTCAGTAGCACAACTGACCCGAATAAGAGATTGATATTCCTCCTTGAGTCGCTGCACCCACAACTCCCGATCTCGAGGTCCGGCGTTAGTCTTCAGCACCGGGATCTCTGACACAACACGCCGGGTGGCCTCGTCCGCCATCTTGGACAAGGGCGCAAAGAGAAACACGGAAGTGGTTTTACCTGTCGTTTACATTCAGAGCGCCGCCATCTTTACTATGGGAAGACGGGGAGTTGGGCTGCCTTAAGACTTCCTTGAAAGCGATCTTTATTTTCTAGCAGCGAAGACAAATTTGTCATCTGGTCACCTGCTTGTGGGTACAACGGGAAGAACAGAATGAAAACGGATTGCTCGGCCCTGAATATGGCAACTATCAGTAAAACCCCGCAGACTGCTCAAAGCGTGACTTCCGCTCATGCTCAGAGACATGATCTCAGAAAACTCTTCCGGGCACCTCCCCAAATTTGGAGAGTGGTTAGAATTTCAAGTTGTTCCAGACACTGTTCCGGGTAGTCGGTCTAAAACGCCTGATTGACATGTTTTCGCTTCGAATAAGCGTCCTCAGCTTTTATGTAATGGGCCCGAGGCCAGTGCAGTCATCCAATAGAAGGGTATTATTGAACTCCCAATAATTCCTGGATACCTTGGAGAATCAAAGTGTAATATACAACTTCGGCCCTGAAGAATTAACACAATCGAATTAGAAAATGCTTAAGTGCCAAAGGAGTTTAGAGGTCCCAAGAAGACATGCCTTCATCTAGCCTAGGCATTTTTTGGTCTGGAATGAACCCATCTAGGAAGAAATCATGTCTCTATCTTAATTTTTTTTTTTAGGTTTTCTTTTATTTCTTTCTTTTTTTTAAAATTGGGGAATTGGGGAGGGGAACATTGTGCTTTTCCAGGACCTATCAGCTCCAACTCCAGGCACAGCTTTCAGTCTTAGTTGCTGGTGGGTATTGTCCACCATCCCATGTAGGAGTCGAACTGGCAACACTGCTGCTAAGAGCACACGCTCTCACCATCTCAGCGGCAGCTCAGCTCAGGTGCAGCTCACTGGCCCATGTGGGAATCGAACTGGCGTCCTTTTTGTTCAGAGCTCATGCTCTTAACCAACTGAGCTACTCGGCTGGCCCTATATCTTAATTTCTAATGGCTGAAACCTCTGGTACAATGTTGAAAAATGTATTGAGAGCAGACATTCTTGTCTTGTTCTGATTTTAGTGGGGAAAGTATTGTCTTTCTTCATTAAGTATGATGTTAGCTGTAGGGTTTTCATAGATGTCCTTTAAAAGGGTAAGAAGTTCCCTTCTATTCTCGATGTTGAGGGTTTTAATGAATGGATGCTGGGGTTTTTTCCAAATGCTTTTTTGTGCTCATTGAGATGATGTGGTTTTAGTCTTTAAATTGGCATGTTATGTATGTACGTATTTCTTTAAAATATTGGGTATTGGAAAAGGCCGAAGCAAAGCTTTTTAGTATCTCACTGGAGATCTCTCTCCTGGGGAAATGTTTATTCCCTTTTGGGTGTAGGCACTGTGGTGTGGTGGAGTGCAGGCATTTGGAATGAGGCTTTGCAATTGTCATGATTTTGGAGATGTGAGAGGGAGAAATAGTGACACGTAGGCCAAAGGATACAAGCTTTCACTTATAAGAATAAATTCTGAGGATCACATGTACAGCATGGTGACTATAGTTCATGAGAGTGTTGTATATTTGAAAGTTGCTGAGAGTAGATCTTAAGCATTCTCACCATAAAAAAGAGTTAATTACATGCCACCACATATGTTTTTCAAATCACATGTATATCAACTTGTCTATTCACAGGGCATTACCCCACTGTTTTCGTTATTGTAGCTTTCTAATACATTTTTATATCTGGTGGGCTAGCTTTTATTTATTACTTTGCTTTTTCAGGATTTTCCTTTCAATTCTTATTTTAACATGTGAACTTTAAAATAAGCTTTTTTATATATATCTTAATGATATTTTAACCTAGATCATATTACATTTATAGACAATTCTGGGAAATTAACATCATTGTATGTTCCCTCTACCCAAGAACATAATGTTATTTTCCATTTGTTCAAGTTTCTTTTATGTGGGCATTATTTTAAAATTTTATTCATACAGATCATGCACATTCTTAAGGTTATTACTAGACATTTTATGTTGCTATTGGGTCTTTTCTTTGATTTTATTTTTAACTTACTGTCTATATAAAGGTTATTTCTGGATGCTATTTTCCCCCCACTTTACTAAATTGTTATTATTTGTGATAATTTTTAAGCTGATTCTCAGAAGTTATCTAGGTAAACAAGCTATCATGCGATAATGATAAGTAAATTATTTTTGCTATATAAAAACAAAAATAGCTAAAGCTTGGAAGACAAGATGAAGAAATTAGGTAATGTGAGGAATTACGAAAAAAAATTTTTGTTACTTATAAGTTCATTAATGACTAAATAAAATAGTAACAGGATTCTTAGCATTTTAAATGAGTTCAGGGCTGGAACACATCTTCTAGAAATCAGAAGTATTATGTAAGTGAAATTGTGTCCCCTGTAGGTAATCTGAGGAACTCATAATATGGCAAATGTCCATAAAATTCCCCAAGAGGGAAATTTCAGATGGTAAATTCTGGAAAATAAAAAAGATTATTGATTCTTCATAACATTATAGAACAGCTATTGAAGAGTGATTTATGAGCGAGAGAAAAAAAAAAGCCGTGACCCCCAGATGTTTAGTGGCTCTTCCTGATGTGACTCAGTCTCGAAGGTGTCAGATCTTTCTTGCCTCCTGTCCTTTTGCAGGCGTCCTCTCAGCCTAGGACACCTCCCCATTCTCTGCCAGATGGCAGGCTCCTTCCTGCTCTTTAGGTCTCAGCTTCCATGACCGCTCTTCAAAGAGAAGCTTTCCCTGACCATTCATTTTCTGTCACAGTATTCTGTTATTTTCTCCACAGCACCCATCTCAACTTAAAATATTTTCTTTCCTTAGTGTCTGTCTTCCCATGTAAACAGTGAGCACCATGTAGTCATGTCTATTTTGTTCACCAATGTGTATCCGATATATGCCTGTCACAGAACCTGACATTAGTAAACGCTTAACATGTATTTATTGAGAATGACTCAATGACTTTCGTCGCCAGTGTTACTCGATTAATAATCTAGGAGAACATTACAGAGACAGTATATCTTGATTTCAGGAAAAATGTGCTTCCTGATAAGTTCTTTGAAAAAGACAGAGAATTGGCAAAAATATAGGAGCTTTTTTTTTTTTTTTAAGACTTTATTGGGGAATCGGGGAAGGGAAACAAAGTTGCTGTCCTTTTGTTCTTCAGTCTAGTTGTGGAGAACGTTGCTTCACTGGCCCATGTTGGTATTATCATTGTGCTCTTCCCGGGTGAGGCAGTCGCTTGCTGGCCATTGGACGGCTGCTCACGAAAGCGTACGCCAGCTGCCGGCCAGCCCCACTGCAGCCTACACTGTCACGGGTGACTCAAACGCCATCATGGGTGACTCACAGCAGCCCAGCTCCAGGTCCAGCTGTTGTTCACCATCTTAGCTGCAGGGGGCACAGCGTCGCTGGCCTTCATATGTGGGATCTGAACCAGGACCCTGCTGCTCAGAGCTGGCGTCTCAAGCCAACTCCTAACCAACGCACCACTCGGCCGGCCCTAAGAACATTTTTATTTGATTGAACAATCAACCAAAGAAGAATTGATTAATTCTCTAATTAGCTGGTGGGGTTGGTGAGACAGGGCTGTATTTTGTCATGGCCCACAGGATGACCAATGACTTAGAAAAAGTCATCCCCACGGGGGCAGCAGAGAGCAGTCACAAAGAACCTGAATTTCTGAAACCTGGTGAAAATTGTTATCTATGTTAGGTAACATGTATCGAGCACTTACAGTGAGCTAGGCCCCATGTTAACATCTCATGTATATTATTTAATATAACTATTAAAACAATGACCTACAACGTGTGTGTTATATTTCCCCCTTTTACAGATGAGAAAATAAGCTTGGAGAAGTTAAGGAACTTGCCCAAAGTCTTATTAGTGAGCGTCAGAGCTGGTGAATGAAGGAAACAGCTGAAGGAGCATTTTGGACAGCAGATCATTAATTTCCAGTGACTGACTGGGGTCCCTACTCTTTTATTCAGAAATCAGGGGACACTGGAATTCTAGCTACGGGATGACGGCAAGGCTGAAACTCAACTGAAATTAGGAGCCAGTATGATGCCTGGGTGAACATGAGTGACTGGAGCAGCTTGGAGTTCATGGGGAACCAGGAACTGGAGAGGGCTGTCAGAACAGCAAGTGAGTGTCGGGTCAAGTGCAAGAGTCAAGCCCAGCCAGGGACACGGGGATCAGAGTGGGCATGGAAGAGTTAAGAGAATACTTGGGGAAATAGGTTGCTAACAGGGTCTGGACTTTTATAAGGGAACATCTGGTTTGAAAAGATCTTAATTCTGGCAGGGCTGGGGAACAGCATGGACTGGGACAAGCAGCCTTAATAGAGTCTTCAGATCAAGGACAAGAGACCTGCTATACTTTGAATTGGTACTACCATGGACCTAGAATATAAATATTTAGTAGGGACATGGTAGCTATCTGAAGGGCTGACATGTAATTATGACGCTGACCCAAAGAGAAAAAATAGGACCAATAAGTGGAAGTTACAAAGAGGTCGATTTTCCTCAGTACAGAAAAAAGGGCCTTCTCATCACAGAATTACAGTGCGTTCAGATCTGTTTCATAGGACAGTGGAAACACCATGTGAAAGGTAGCTGGAGGGTGTCAACTTGGAGTCCAGTGAAGTAGAGACGACTGTGGGAGTAGAGTATGCTGAGAAGCAGAAAAGGGTGGGAACCAGGGTCCAGCTGAAAGAGCCAATCTTTGAAAGTTGGAGGGATGTTTTCTCAGCTGAGGCTCCATGGAAGAGACGGGAACTTACGTAAAGGAAAAGATGTGAAAGGCGGGGGACTCTGAGTAACAAGCGAACCCTACACAGGTTCTCAATCTTCTCAGTGGAGTTTTCTCAAGTTTTTGATTCTGTGACAATCATCACCCAGTTTTTATTCTTCCTCATTGGCTGTTCCTTTTCAAAGATTCTCCAAAGGCCCCTCTTCTCTTGTGCTTTAAGTGACGGAATTCCCCAGAGCACTTTTCTTAGAGCACTGCTGCTCTCCGGCGAGCTTATCCAAATCGATGGCTTCAGCAAGCATTGAAATGGTCATGATTCAGAATTTCTGGCTGACACATCACCAGAGTTTTTAAAAAGTAGTTTTGTATAAAAGCAATATATGTGTATAGTAAAACAAATTCAAACAGTAAAGTTGGATCTAAAATAAAAAAGTGAGTTTCATCCCTCCCACGCCCACTCTTCATGGTTCATTGTTTAATGCCTGTGTAAATCTGCCACACGTATCGTTCTGCAGTTCTTTTTTTTTCCTTTTCATGTATTATTCTATGTTTCGATATATCCCAGCTGCCATCAGGACATCTCCGTCTGGCTCCTTTCTTTGGCACTTGCCCTCATGCTGCAACCCACTGTTAGTCTCTTTGCAGTTAATGCCATGAAGAAACTGTCTTTATATCTATACACTGTGCCTTTGCAGCCGCTCAATGACCTCAACCTGGTTTTTAACCCACCATCTCTCTGAAACAGCTCTCTCCAAAACTACTAAATGACTTCCTTGTTGCGAAATCCAATGGGCACATTTTAGTCAGCATCTTACCTGACCGGTTTCCTTCATGCTTCTCTCCTGTTTCTTTCTTTCCTTTCTGTTTGCCCCCACCTCAGTGTCCTCTTTTTGGCTTTCTTCCCTTATCTCATCCCGACGTGCAGGCATTCCTGTCTCGAGGCCATTTTATTCACTCCCATGGCTTCAACGACCATCTGTACTCACGCGCGCGCACCCACCTACCAGCCCTCTCTTTTAGGTTCCCAGCCCACACTAATATTCCATTGTCTACTGAGTATCTCACAGGCGCCTAAAACTAATTCCCTCCCCCAAAACAAAATATGGCATCATTATTCCCCAACTGCCCAAGTCAGAACACTGGGCAATGTCTTGGATTTCTCCCTCTGCCTCATGCCCATTTCCGACCTATTTTCCCCATGCGCACCTCCCTTCTACAGGACAGAGCCTGGGCTCAGAGCTTCTCAACTGTTCTCCTTGCCTCTAACTCTGTCTCCTCCAGTCCATTCTCCCCACTACAAACACAGATCCCATGTGTTTTTGTTCACACTTCGGTTAAGACTCTTTTTCAACGCCTGCCCATCGCTCTTAGGATAAATCAACGCATTTACAAGGTCTTGTGTAGTCTGGTCCCCCGCGTCTCAGACCTCATCTATTACCTCTTTTAACCACACCAGGCGGCTGGCAGCTCCAGAGCGTACCGGGCCCCGACCCCCAATTCCCAACAGTCCAGGATTCAGCACAGGATACTTCCTTCAGGAAACGGGTGCTCACAAGCAGGCTGTCAGCGTGAAATCCGAAGGCATCGGCGCAGCGCGTCCTGCTCCGGACCCAGGTGCGAGGCACGCCCGGGTTACCAGGAAGCTCAGAGCAAAGGTCAAGTACAAATTCCGAACCTTCCCCAAGTTCGCAGGCAAGCCGACCGGTCGTGTTCCGCCGTCACGCGTCCTGGCCGCCAGTCCGTCTGTCGGTGGGTCTGCACGTCTTCACAGCCAGCTCTGGCGCCACCCACGTGTCCACACTCACGGAGGCACTGTCTCCCCGGGGCCGCCGTCCGCCCAGAAACACCGGCGTTGCCAGCTTGCCCCAGAGCAAGATGGCGGCCAACCACTGCTGTCGCCGCCCGAGAGAAGCTGTCCCCGCCCCGAGTCACGCCGCTGCCAGGCTGCCCTCACCCAGCATGGCTGCGCGGCCATGCCTCACTCGGCCCCGAAGCCGCCACGAGCCGGCCAAGTTC